GCTGTATTTTTCGCGCAAATATCATCGGATATTTCGTCAATTTACAGAAATATCAATAATCGATAACGCAATGTTATCGTTAACACGGCGTGTGCCAATGCATTATCTCTATCATCACGATTGTTTATTCAAAATGCGATACGGATGCGGTGGTAAAATATATCGGATTTATCTGAAGTACCCACAAACAGAAATGAATATATGAATTTATTCGAGCGTGATTTCCGGATTTAATGAAGCTTTTAAACTCGCCTGTCATACTTTTTGCTGAAACGCTTGAGTCCAGTCAGATCGAGAGATTGAACTAGTTCCCGTGTTGTCGAAGAAACGAGCGCGAGTAATTTTCGTTACAAATGACAATCTACTGTTTTACACCGGAGCGACAGTCACGCTTGATATCTCGCGCGATATTAACCGGTTCACTGGTAAACTCGGAACCAACGTTTCGTGCCAAAACTGGTGAGAACAAAAAATTCCGCATTTTACATGAAAACTTATCTAATAAAGGGTTTTTTGGGTAACTGATTACAAATTCTGAGGTCAAATTTGTCCCGTTACCGATACTTTTACTTTATGCACCCAAAACTAATATCCTTTATATCGTTCATTATATTTCCAGGGTCAAATTTTCTCTAAAATCAATTCTGAATATATTTTTATATTGTTTCATTTTATATTTTATAATATAAAATTCATAATATTTCACTAGCTAATAACCCATACAGCACAAAATCTCTTGGGGACGTCCCACAGATTTCCTGAGAACATAGAACGTCCCCAGGACATTCTCAGGACGTACACTGGACGTCTCCTGGACGTCAATTTGTGCTGTTAGGGAATAAATGTAACGGAGTATCCATGGAATCATACCGAATATCATACCGAGTTTGTTTCGTATTTGTAATGGAATATCAAAGTTAGTCACTTGAAGCCGCCATATTGGATCCGTCATTTTAAATTTCTCAAATTTGACCTCGGATTTTTAATCAGCGATCCAAAAAACATGAGGATAGCAAGTTTCATGCAAATCCG